AAAACTAAAACTGGTGTCTCCATGGTCTCTTGATCTTCACACAGAGTGGGACGTAACGTTGGTGAAACCGCAGAAGGTTGGTTACTTTGCCGGAAACTTTTCCGAGTTTTAGTTTTCGGGAGTTGTTGCAACTAGCCTAACGCGTTAGGGCGCTTGGTCGGGTGAGTCACAGATCAGGAGCTTCGAGCTATTTTCAGATCCTGAAGACGACGATTGAGTCAAAACGTTGACCAATAAAGCGGTTCAGCCATAACAAACCTGTACGGCAGAGCAGTATCAAACATTATGAAGCTGGTAGCATTCCAAAATGGAGAATATCTTCAACTCAGAAAGGCCCTTTCGGATATGATTTGAAGAAGAGTGTTCGAGCTCGTCGCGAGGTGGGAGCGGCAACTATCGAGGGCGTCTTACGTTACTGTTATTCATTTTGAGGAGTACTATATGGGAAACCTCTTATAAAGACAAATTCGCAATAATTTCATGCACTTTTTTGAGTTGCGAAGAAAAAATCGATGGAAATAGTTTAAAGGTTGCAAAGAAGACAAAAAACCCTGCAATATGAGTTCTTTTCGAGGTTGTTCATTTCTATTGTTGGACGAAGTTTTGAGGACGAATGGATGACCTTTGGACGAGCTTCATTCGTCGCAAAGCAATGCTTGTTAAAGTGTTTGTTTCTATATAGCATTTATCATAAACACATCAAAATTCGTACGATAATATCCTCTATAGGCCGCTGAACACATCCTTTCTTGGGAGTATTGAGCGACACTCGGCGTGAAGACCAACTTATGAACATTTACTTTGCCTTATTTGGGATCCCTTTTGAACCGCATTCTCCCTATGGCCTTTTCAAAAATAAAGATTCACCAATCAGGATCTCCAAAACCATAATCATCACGAACTTTGAACAATAAACTTTGTTTCTCTCTCAAAGTGAAGTGGTTTTGTTGAAACGTCTCACAGAAGTCATTCATTATAGCTATACTGGGTCAGTACCATAAGATCGAAGATGTGAAGGTGAAAGAATATCACGTGAACTCAAGAGGAACATGGTAGAAATACATTTCCGATTCCAATCCACCTGAACAGTACCCAATTGGTCGTGCTTCTTTGACGAAGACCTGATTTGACTGATGTTCACATCTCATTAATGCCAAGTGGCGCACTTTCACAAATCATGACCTGAGGATCGAAACCCGCCAAGGAGAACCAAGCTTTTCTGCTTTCAGAGCTGATTGGTTGGTATTATACAGTCTGGGAGGATAAGAGTATTGTAACGAACATTTGCTCACCACTACATGTTATTGTATAGACCACAAGCCCATGCCTAAGCTGCAGCCATTCAAACCACTACTATGATTCCGAATGGAAGACGAAGGCGGAACGCACACCCAAGAACAAGATTTATCAATCCTGAAAGACTTTATCCTCCATCTTCGTGAGAGGGAACTGTCAATCTAACTATCCCTACAACCCTGCTTATTCAGAAAAGGGCATTCGGGCATCCCTATAGGTCTTTTTTGAAAGAATAATGTAAAGCTATTACCCTTCGGTGCAAACATATTAGACAGAATTTCTAGCAGACCTTCAATGAAGGTGATAACTTGGGAGTATTTTTTTTTCGAAGCGTGACAAGAGTGAATTGCAGGTGTTCGTTGAACATGCGAGGAAAAACACCTCAGAAAGCGATTAGTAGTCAAACTAGAACATAGAACACTTTTGCCAGCTGAAATTAATCACATATCAAGGTCAGGCAACTTTTCTGGAAGTTAAGTGTTCAGTCGTACTTTGTACATTAATTCCCATGAAACCGTCTAGTTATTGGCTAGCGTTACAAAGTGTTGAAAGAAAAATGTCGAAAGTTGTCCCATTACCCAAAGTGTCGGAAAAGGGTTTTGGCAAAGCAGATATTAATATTCTTAAATAATCAAAATTAGGGTTGAATGGTTTATGACATCGATTTTGCCTTCCTAATCTTCAAGGGCAAAGGTGTATAGGCTAATTATAGTCAAAAGACTCCAGCCTTTACTCATTGACCCTGACCCGACGTATTCGGGGTTCCTACCAAAACCTTGCAAGGTTCCCGGTCTTGCACAGATCGGGCAGACCCGCAGCGTTCAGGCCTTTCATAAGGTGTCCAGCTAATGTAGTCTGGCTCAACTTCGGGAACTCGTTGACAAAAATTTCCTGGTGTAGGTCGCTCCACTGAGCTGTTCGAAACGTTTCTACAGACTGTGAGCGACTGCGCTCTCAGTCGGCTGGAATCTATCTCAAAAAATGACAATGTTCAGGAGATAGTCCTCAGTTGTCTTTACATAACGGTGGCACTAGATTAATTGCCGCCGAAAATCACCACAATTAAAAGTCATTCAAGTCGGAATTTTCTAATCGAGGTCTTCCAGGTATGGGTCAAGAGACGCCATCGCGGTCGTCGAGCAGTAGATGCACGACGAAGTTGTTAAAGTTGTTAGGTAATTGCAGTCCCTTCACTTATATTAATTGGAAGACTTTTGTTAACACAAAACTCCATTGCTTTACTACGACCTCCACTCCCTGCTCAAGTCTTCAGTGAGTCGCTAACCATTCACGCGACGACACCGTTTTTCAACGACGAACTTGGTTATTTCCTTTTTCGCATACTGCCGACGACTGCTCATTTTTCAACATGTTACAGATGCGAGAAAGGAAATGTAGAGGAACGGTCTCGTTACAGAGTAAGTATGGACTTTCTAGTGGCTGGAGAATTGCAACAGCCTCGAGAGACGGCTGCGACAAACTTAGACACCACGACCAAGTCGCTGCTCATGTCATATAGACATATTGCAAAATCTATGGAAATCATATCTGTAGCAGACAAAGTGGTCCTCCATAGGGTGCCCGTCCGCGAAGTTTTATTATAGGGTTCGGTAGTTTGATAGAAGAAAAAATGAATGCTTAGAGGCCCCGCGCAGCCTCCTGATTCTCACAACAGCGCTCATTCAGACATACAGAAAAAAGTGCTCCATGAACTTTGCTCAGTCATTTCTCAAGAAGGTAAAGAAAGCCTGGCGAAACCGAAGGTAAGAAAGGCACTGGAAATACCACAGAAGAGGAAAAAGTCATGATGTCGATCGTTAAATTTTGAAATCAGCCGAATTTCCTAAACGGCCTCCTTGCTTGTACTTCTTCCAGCCAATTTCCATCTGAAAATTGGGACGGCCAGCTAGCAGGCAGCCTACTCAATCCTTTTCCGAAAAACTAGGCCTTTATAAGATAGTATGACGTGCGAATGCATCGCCCATTGAAAATCATTCGCGATTCTCAGCAACTCTCTTGCATAACTGAACGTTTTATGTTCTGAGAATCAGGTAGTTCGGGAACAAGACAAGGCTATTATGCGTTGAATGATCCTTGAATAGAACGGCCCATCTCCTATATATACTCGGCAAACGAGACACTACGCAGGCAATGCAATTTGTTAGCCACCAAACATGCTCTTCACAGATTGAACAACCTGTCGCCTCGTCATCTGCTACCACCTGATGTCGTTCTAATTTTCTGACCGTTCTTTGAAACGCCCAGTAAAAGGAACATATTTATCTATCAGTTAAAATCCGTTCAATCACCAAGGAATTAATCAATCAATTCGAACGATTGATCTTTTTCCTCAATTTCTGTTGTATCCGTTTATTTCCTGCTTGTTTGAGAGGGAGTGAGCCATGTATTCGACCNCAATTTCGATTTTTTCCAATTCATTTTTCACCGGTAGGTTCACCCGCTCTTATCTATGGAATTTTAGGGTAGTTAAAATCCGTTCAATCAACAAGGAATCAATCAATCAATTCGAACGATTGATCTTTTTCCTCGATTTCTGTTGTATCCGTTTATTTCCTGCTTGTTTGAGAGGGAGTGAGCCATGTATTCGACCGTAGTAACCGTGAAATTTTGGTGGATTGCAAGAGAGGCTTTGTTCAAACGTTTCCAATAAAACTTTGGGAGGAAAAGTTCATATCCTGAACCTGGATAGACTTCTCGAATTGAGCTCAGCAGCTCCGGTAAGGCTTGCTGAGACGCTTTTTCGTCTGCACATTAAGGGAGGACAGGTACCCACACAGTTGACCGAGGGTGTCGCGCGCGCGGCCATACTTCAGCGCGCGATGGCAAGTCCTGGCTCGAACCCATACGACGCAAAAAAGTATTCACACTATCAGCGTTACCCGCCGATTTTGGTGTCTTCCTTTCCTACATTCACTTTTCTGTTCAGAACCTCTTGGTTTACGTGAGGCACTATTTTTAGATAGTCTGGGATGGCCTTAACCCACCGTCTCACTCATGCGAAATTTTTTGGCATTTCAAACAAGTTTGATAAATGTACTGTTTGCTTGTGAAATTTATGGCGTCCCGTTTGGAAACCACACCGTAGCCATCGCTGCAGGAATCACGTCAGAAGTGTAAAACTTCACATTTTTTGTTCAAATAACATCATCTTGCATAACTCGGTCTCGGTACTCAGCGGAATTCCATCTTCGAGGCCCGCCTCTTCATCGGTATATACCCGGTGTGGGCATTCAATACAGACCTGTGATGCTTAAGGCACACCCTTATTTCATCTATCTCATAGAGTCTTGACTTCCTCTCTTTGTCAAGTTTACACCCTGATATATCGAATTTCCAGTTATCAGAGAAATCAAGCTGCAATTTTCAGCCATGGTTCGTTTTGCTATTCCAATCGTAGCTAGTCTGAGCTTCGTCTTTGTTGCTGGATTCACCGACATACCTCCTGAGTTTAAATGTGAGCTATACGAAGCCATATTCAATTACGCCCTGGGAGAAGTTAGCTACTTTAGCTATGCTTCCTCAACATCTTCATAGTTTCATTGGCGGTCTTTCTGAATCCGACAGGAACATACTTAAAGATGTCGCAAAAAACTATGATAGCTACGGGAGCCACGAAAAAGTAAGTCAAACATGAGACAAATTCTTGGAAACGTGATCCCGTCATGCCAATGTAGAAAGAAAAGATTGGAGTTGTATACCAAAATCAATATATTTTAATACTTCATTGTCAAATCCGGATTTTTTTTAATCGACTCGAAGGCACTAGCACAATGAGACTGTCTGGCAGCTTTGGGATGAGAGGAAACTCCTGCTCTTGAAGAGTTCCTGTATGCCCAAAATTGCCATGACGAGGAATGATCTAGGATTGATAAAATAAGGGCTTAAAGTTTGATAAGCACACAGATCCCAAGTAAAAACCATAAATGAAGGCTTGCCAGTCAAGCTATCTGCCGATTATCACTTCGGACACCCCCTTATTACTACATTGAATAAAGCCGACCAAACTTTTCCAAGGTAAATCTGTTACTGACCAATATTTCCCTCTACTGCGACTTGGAAGATAAAGTCCTTGACGTCAATGAATCCCGTCTTCAAGGTGCGCCGCGCATGCAACTTCCATTCGAAATCGTAGTGTCGGTTTCAATGCATGTGTGGCCTATGTCTGCGGTGGCTAGCCGGCGCTTAAGACAATGCTATTTTCGTTCTAGACAAGTCTGATACAAATGGACCGACCCCAGTATAGACTGATCGGTTGGCTCTGGGGAGTTTCGATAGGGATTTGAACTCCTCGCAAGTGTGACAATGCGAAACTTGCCAGTGTACCCCTCCTTCCCCTGCCTCTGATGCAACTTCATTGCTTCAAACGAACCATTTAACAGCGGGAAGATCCAGCCGAGTAGTTTTCCAAACAACCCTACTTAGCGGTGAGAATGAAGTCATACCGAAAGCCTTGTCTTTTAAACATTTAAATTTTCTTGATAGTCCTTACCAACAACGTCGCGCCACCAATATTCACACCAGCCCTTCCAATTCCTAAACCAATAACCGTAACTTTAGTTTCTTTCCATAAACTTTTTTCAGGTACCTCGTTGAGGTTTTATTACTGTCAATATATTTTAGGTTATGGCCGCAATAAAAGAGAAATCGCCTCAACTTGCAGAACAAGTTGAACATCATTATCAAATGTCTATGGACGCGCTGAAAAAGCTTCCAGCACCAGCTCAAACCTTCATAAAAGAGGTAGTCACCTCCCCCTTCTAACGCTCGCCTCACTAACAATTCCTCTCATTTCAGCTATACCAAACAATCCGTAAAACATACACAGAAGCCCTCTCTGGTCACAAACCTACTCCGGATCAATTGAAGGCAAAAGGCGAGCAAATTATCAGTAAGTACGATGCGCTACCTGAATCGGCTAAAGGCGATCTCGAAAAGAACTACCCCTACATCACCAAAATGCTGAAAGGTGAGTTCGACCCAATTTATTCCAGCTTGATATCAGTTGCAAAAGTTTTTGAAAGACATTTTTACAGACAAGGACCTACCTGCGAAGCTCGCCGCCCTTCCCTTGAACTAGATGGAAACATCCGATGCGAAATTTCCATGTGGTCATGTTGAAGGATAACGGTTCCAGTAATTCGCCAAGTTTCCATTGTTTGCAATCAAGAAAGACGTTTGCTACTTTTACCCTTGATTTTGTACATGGAATGACTAATGATGGTACCGTCTGTAGGATTTTCTTTCGCGATGTAGTTCTCCGGATGAATAAAAGTGTGAGACAGCTCCATTACACCATTATTCACTAGCGTGAACATGATTCCAATTCAGTTAATATATCAAACAGCAGATTTTTCAATAAAAAACATTTTGCTGTTACTATTACTACATTTTTGATGTTTCTATCCAAAACGCGATTGTTTTATTTGTTGAGGGTTGTCTTTGTCGTGAAAATTGCCTTGTCAGAGAAAACGAGGAAGGGATGCGTGTTTCCACTGAGACTAACCAGCAACCTTCTGCAGTTTTTGAATCTACACCGTCTACTGGGCCTCGAATAGGAGTGGAATTCCTCTCCGTTACATTTCTTTTGATGGGTCACTCAGGATCACGATCTACTCGCAAATGGACTATTTCGATGGTCCCATGTTTACTCACACTAATCTTTCCACCCTTTCCAGTTTGGCCTTTGATAGTTTCTGCTTCACTATATCTTTTGAAAGCGTTAGTTTTTGCTTCTGCCTCGAGGTTTGTAGGTGGAAATATTTATTCTG